TATCGTCCCAGGTTTGTGGAACGTTAGCAAGTGCTTTGCGTTGCCCAAGGCAGCTGCGCCTGGACCGAAGGGAAAAAGGGTAGTACACGGACTTGATCCTGTGGGAAAAGGATTCTTCGAGGGCCTGATGCGCATCGGACCGAAATATACCAACTCTGACTGCGATCACGGTTTCTTGAGAGCTCGTCGTCGCGAGGATGCGATTGTCACCAACATGTGTTTCTCATGGCGCCTTTCTCAGGCAGGGTATTCTTGGGTCGACTCTTTGAAAGACCTTTCCAACGCCTTCGCGTCGTCAAAGTGGGAGGCGCTCGATCAGGCCACTCGTACCCTCGTGCAGCCCAGGGATCTGAATCTTTGTCGTCGGCGATTTCGACGTGCAGGATGTGTTTTGCCTGCTGCCGAAGGCCCCCTTTTTCTTCGGCGTGGGTGTGGGTCCCTTCAGGGTGATCCGTATGCGGTTCGATCGTTCGTCCGCGTCTTCCGCCCAACAGTCGATAGATGGCTAGAACGCTGTGCGGAGGCTGACACCGAGAGCGAGCAGCTCATGTGGTCCAGGATCCCCGAGGCCATGATCCCAGGGGCGCCCCAGGTGTACCTAGGTCTCCAGAAGTTCGCAGATGATCTCCTGAAGAAGCTGATTGTAGGCCCTCCCTTCAACTTAGATCGGTTCCTGAAGGCTCTCAGAGACAACGACGAGTTTTTGGATCAGGAGCTTGACAAGATAGGTTTGAAGAGGAACAAGAGTAAGCAGGAGGCGCTTCTACGGGTCCCCCAGAGCTCCAAGCGAGGCGCGGCTGCGGCCCTCAGAGGCCTTGAGACGCGTGTGACGGATGAGGTGCGGTACCTGGGGCCGTATCTGACCCCCACTCAGAGCTTCAGCGTCGAGCTCGTGAAACGGATCAAAGCCATGAAAGGTGCGTTCTACAGGATGGGGCAATTCTGGTTCCAGAAGGGGGTGCCGTGCAGGTGGAAGAGATGTGTTTTGCTGTGTCACGTAGTCAACGCAGCGCTTGCTGGTGTAGAAGCTTTTGTGCCTACGGCGTCTCAGTTGCAGACGTTGGAGCTTGCTGTCGGAGGTCTTGCCAGAAAAGCAATGCGTGGCGAGGCCAGCTGGGAGGAGGAGGACGGACGGAGAAGATGTCTTTCAACTCGGGAGGTGTATCAGTGGTGGCGCCTCTCCCCTCTTGCCAGCGAACTCCAGGTCCGTCGTCTGCGTTGGCCGCAGGCATGTGTGCGACGACCAGGATCGCACAAGCAGATGCTGGCGGCTATCTTTGGCACTCTCCCTTTTGAGCATACCGAGGTTTTCACGGAGAACGGGTCTCTTGGGATAAACGCAAACCCGTGGGCCTTGCAGTTCCAGGGGGACCTTGAGGAGCTCGCCAGGTGGAGTGAGGATGCGGCCTCGTGCTGGGCCCGTGCTGAAGGTTCAATTTTGGGGCTCTTCGACTTCGAGGTCTCCCAGGACTTCGTGAAGATTGATGTTCGGGTTCTTCGTAGTCGGCATTTCGATGTTGAAGTTGCTCCCCCTGGCCTCCAACCAGCAGATCCCGAGGCTCTCGAAGAAGGTGCATTATGTGTCTCTGTGGATTTCAGGTGCCCGTGGACAGACGAGAATGGCCCCTGTGGGGCTGCGTTCACTTCGAGGAAGGGGCTGGTCAACCACCTGCGATTGGTCCACAACTCGTCCAAGCTCTCTCAAGTTTTGACTGTTACGAACCAGTGTGTCTCTTGCAAGGAGGTCTTTTGGGACAGAAAAAGCGCGCAACAACACCTTCACGGAGCCATTAACTTCGGGCGATGCTTGGCCAACAAGGCTTCCACGCTGAGGCCGATGATTGAGCCTGAGTCCGTCATCGTTTGTGGGGTCTGCGGTTCAAGCTGTACATCCTTGTCTACCTACAACGAACACGCCTGTACCCACCTGCCCTACCAGCCTCGAATACAGCCTCTTAAGGATGCCAGGCGACGACTGGGATGTCGAGAGGTTCGGCGAGGAGCGGCCAATATGGGCCATGGCGGTGTGCGGCGTGAAGCGCCCTGCCCCACCCGAAGGCGGCGATCGCTCGAAGCAGGCCAACGTAGGACAAGGCTCAGGCACTCAGGAAGCTGCCCAGGCAGGCCGAGGCGCCAAGTCCAACAAGAAGCTCGAGGAGCTCGCCGAGTTGAAGGCGCGCCTGGCGCTGATCTCGGCACGGGAGCAGGCTCTTCTCGAAGGCAGCGTTCTCGAGACGTACCTCGTCCCCGAGCCTCACTTCCTCTCGATGTCGGGCATCGAGGCGAATCGCTTCTACACCGAAGCCGTCGCCGGCCTGAACGAGCAGATGAAGACAGACGACAGCATCGACGTAGGACAGCTGGGCCCCCCGTTCGTTACTGTTTTCTTTATGGTGATGACGGCTGCGGTCAAGGCGGCGCGGGGGGCAGCTCAGGAGCCCATGGCGAACTTCTTCCAGACGCACGTCAAGGGCCAGCCAGCAGAGTACATCACTCAGTACGTCACGCATTTCTCGATCAAAGCACCGAGGGGCGAGCACACCAGCGCCAAGATGAAGGGCATGGTGAAGTTCCAGGTGCACATTCAGACCGCGCGGCCCGCTGGCGTCGTGCTTCGCGAGACCCTCGATCGCATTCTATCGGAGGCAGGGGCCAAGAGGCTCTTAGGCTCGGCCCCACGCGGGCCCCTCGAGCGCAAGATTGGCCAGATGTTGAGCAAGCGGTGAGACCTCCAGTTGATGCTGATCAAGACCGAATTCGCAGCCAGAGTCTGGATGGAGATATCATTCGCCCCCAACGGCCTGGTTGTCAACCACCCTTGGGCCCAGTTCATCCTTCAGCTGTGGGTGCAGCTGGTGATAGTCATGCTCAGGATTGTGGTGTGCTCCAGGCTGACCAGATGACCGAACAGACGAATGTGGAGACCACTTTTGGATATGATACTCATTCTGATGTTGTGGGTGGTCATTCAGATATTCCTCAAGCGAGTACTGCTGGTGCAAACGATACCGATTCGCGTGTTCATTTACCTCATGGACGGGGTGAGAGGTCGTCGTCGGCCCCACGGAGTGAACCTGCCCGTTCCGCCCCTCCTACTCCTTCCTCCAACCCCCAGGAGGTCCGCTGCAGGACCTTGCCCCCGCCCCAGCTCTCCCTGCCGAGTGCGCTGCAGAGCGAGGGGTCATCAAGGACTGCCGTATCACGGGGAGGGATTGTTTTGTTGTTCGGGCGGGGGCGGGGGTGGAGGGGGGGGAGGAAGAGAGAGTGGCTGCTGCTGCGACCGATCGTGCCGAAGGGAAGGCGGCGAGCTCGTCCGAAGTGAGGAGTGTCCGTCCGAGGCTGTCGGTTCGCGGAGCTGTGAATTCGAGACGTCGTGGTTAGAGGTTGACTGGCGCCCGCAGGCAACCCAGCGCGGCACCCCGCGCGATGGGCGCGCCTCTGGGGCCAGTGGGGGCTGTTCCCTCCTGCGAGGGCTCCCCATCGAGGGTTTGGATTTGTTGGGCTATGCCCCACGCAGGGATCTAGTTTTGTTTTTTTCTCTCCCCGCAGGCCTGTGTAGGCCCCTGCAATGTTGCCCGTCGGACTTGGTTTGATCCCCAGCGTCTCTTGGTCTTGGTCTTGGTCCTCCTCCTCCTCCTCCTCCTCCTCCTCCTCCTCCTCCTCCTCCTCCTCCCCCCTCCTCCTACTCCTCCTCCTCCTCCTCCTCCTCCTCCTCCTCCTCCTCCTCCTCCAGCTTCGAGAGGCGCAGCTGCTGGAAGGCATCCCGAGGCTGCGGGGGCCGCCAGGAGCCGAAGATCGGGGGCGGCAAAGAGGGGGGTGATGACTAGGGGTGTGTGGATATAATGGCGGGGGCCATGATATTTCCCCAGATCTCGTGGCTCTTCTTGTTTCATTACGTGCCGCCTGTCATTATTTGCACCCCCCCTCTTGGACACCCCCCTCTTGGCCGCTCCCGCGAAGAGAGCGCCCGAAGGCCTCGAGTCTCGAACCGTTGGGTTCTCCCGCCTGGGAGGAGTCGGCCACGCGCAGATAGGGGTAGGGGGTGAGGGGAAGGCCTATGAGAAGCGCCCGAAGACCTTGAGTCTCGAACTTTGCGTTCTCCCGCCAGGGAGGACTCGGCCACGCGCAGAGGGGGGTAGTGTTAAGTCGGGCATGTCCCTCTAATGGAGGAGTGTTCAATAATAGCGCAGACATACTTTGGGGATGAATTTTCGATTATTTGTGGATAGTGTTGCGCATGTTTTGACAATTTTGAATTTTCCCTCCATAATCCGCCTGTAAGGGGACATGCCCGACCTGAGGGTAGGGGGAGGGGGGAAGGCCTCCGATAAGCACCCCTGCTTCTTAGAAGGCGCGCGCCCTGTCCACAGATGGAAGGCCGGCGCCTTCGAAGAGGCGGCCTGCCCTCTGAGAAGCCCTCCCCCCTCCCTGAGAAGCCTTCCCCCCTCCCACATTGCCCCCCTCTGCGCGCCTTCTAAAAGGCAGCCTACCTTCTGAGAAGCCCTCCCCCCTCCCACACTGCCCCCCTCTGCGCGCCGCCGGGAAGAGCAGTCGTGGTCTCGACTGGCCCCCCAGCCATCCTCCACGGCGGGCGGCCCGGTGCGGGGGAGGCGGGTCGCCCGGGGGGCGGGGCCCCTGGCCAGAGCCCGGGGCGGCGTGAGGCCTCGCAGATAGCTGGGCGTTCGGCCATGGGGGGGGCGAGAGATGGGGGGTCGTCGAGGGCTGCACGACAGGGGCCCTGAAGGGGCCCTCAACGACGTTTTTGGTTGACGAGCGCGTCCTGGATGCTGACGTGTCCTGTTTCGCGGGATGGTTGCAGCGGGAGCTCTGGTCGAGTTGCAGGCCCGTTCTCGTCATTTTCATGATTGGCCCCGTCGTGCCAGTTCGAGTCCCCCGTACCCGAGCCTTGCGTCTCCCCTGTTGGTTGCCTGGCTTCCGGGCTCGAGCGGAGGGGCATCGGGTCCCACTGGCCGGCGGGGAAGCGTCGCGCCCCCCGGAAGGGATCACGGCTTCGAGCTGACCGACGACGACATCGTCACCCGGAAGAAGGCGGGCGGGTGCTCGCGCATCGCGGGGCGCGCGTCGCCCCGGCGTCCCTCGTTTTCCCCCGTGCCCGCGCGCGGGTCCAGAGCGGGCCTCGCCCTTGCGGTCCACTCCCCTTGCCTTGGTATCGCTCGGACGTGTGCACTTTCTCTCGGCGGGGATTATTAAGGAAAGGAGCATCCTTGATCATTCGGCGAAGAAACCACGCACGAAACCGAAAAAAACACAGGGAATGGACGTCCGAGCGATGGGGAGTTGCTCTCTGGCTGAGGATGTTGAAGTTTGTGTCCAATCTCCGTGGGGCATCATGTGGCGTTTTCGTCACCGCCGCCGAGGTGCCCTCGAGGTTCTGGCCAGGGTGCACCTTGGGAGAGAGGTCTAGGTCGTTCGACTGTGAGTGGAGGACCCTTCGCTCGCTCCACATCGGCCGCCTCCCTCCATCCCCCCCTCCCCCATCGGAGGCGGCGCAGGAGGAACAGCATCAACAGGACGTCCCCCACTACCCTCCTCCTTCTCCTCCCTCTCCTCCTTGGTTCTGGTAGGGGCACGGCCATCCGTTGGGACCAGAGAGGACGGAACAGCCGTTCCTCTCCAGAGGTATCGAGAGACCCTCCGCAGGTACTGAATGATTCGGTCAACTAATTTCTCCAGGAGCTGCAGGCCGTGAACGTGTGGTCAGTCTGGGCCCCACGGCGCTGCTTTGTGGATCATCATCAGCATCATAATCATCAGCATCCACAGCAGCATACACAGCAACATCACCAGCCTCATCAGGAACATCAACACCATCATCATCTTCAGCAGCATCATCACCATCGTCGTCATCATCATCATCATCCTCATCATCATCATCATTATCATCATCATCATCATCATCATCGCCAGCTTCATCATCATCATCGCCAGCTTCATCATCATCAGCATTAGCATCCTCAGCATCAACATCAGCATCATCATTACCATCAGCATCATCATCAGCATCATCATCATCAGCATGGCCATCAGCATGGTCATCATCATCATCATCATCGTCATCCAACTCAGCAGCAGCAGTATGCGCATCATCATCATCATCATCATCATCATCATCAGCACCACCATCATCAGCACCATCATCATCATCATCATCATCATCATCATCATCGTCATCAGCATCATCAGCATCATCATCAACATCGTCAGCATCATCAACATCATCAGCATCATCATCATCATCATCAGCATCATCAGCATCATTATCATCATCATTTGCATCGCAACCATCATCAGCCTCAGCTTCTCCCTCGTCGCCATCACCGTCCTCATCGTAACCGTCGTCAACGTCATATAGTTGCAGGCTGAGTGTTTTGATTTTTGGAGTGTTGAGTGCCGCAACCACTGCGGCTCAAGCCTAACTTGTGCGGCTCCAGACAGGATCTGGGCCTCTACCTCTCCGACGCTCTGCGATACGGAGGTCAGGCCCTGGGAGCCTCCGTGGTGACGCGCGAGGGCGGCGCCCAGCTGCGGGGCCTGCGCGCCGCAGCTGACCTGCCCCGCCATCCCCGCGTGCGTTTGCGCGGGCGCCGGCGGCCGGGTGCCCGAGCCCTCCTGTGTCGGGCTCGTGGGCGCCTGCTCGGTCGCGGGCCTCCTCGCGGGTGCTGCGCCCGGCACCGCCTTGGGGTTCGTGCTGGCCCATCGCAGCGCCGTCGTGGGCAAGGTTGCCGAGCCCGAGCCGAGCTTCGAGGAGACCGCGCGGGTGCAGGCCAGGGCGATCCGCGACAATTTCGCTGACATCAGGTAGCTGTGCCGCATGCGCGTGCCGTGTCGTTGGTGCGATATCGGGTCAGCGGGGCCCAGATCTGGCATGAGCGGGTCTCGTTGCTGGCAGATGGTGTTGGCAATCACTCCGTGCTGACACCCGACGGGGGCCGCTGCCTCCAGAGCGCGGCGCCTGATGCAGATATCGCCGGGGTGATGCTTCTGCAGGGCCAGGGCGACCGCCCTGGCGGCCTGCGGATCCACGGCTTCCGCCCCCTGCCGGCCTCTCAGGAGGTGCGGGGGGGCATTCGCTAGGGGGCCGCAGCGCTTGGCGTCGCCGTGCCGCTTGGCCCCGCGACCCTCCCCCTGGTTGCTGGCAACGTTGGAGGTCTCGCCCATGGGCCGCTCGCGCTGGCCGGCCCTGGGGCCCCTGCGGTGGCGGCGGCGCTTGTTGCTGGGCCCTTGGCGCTGCCAGCAGCCCCTGCGCCCGCCGCTGGCCTCCTGCCGCCCGCGGCCGCGCCTAGTGGAATCGCTCTTCCAGGCTTGGTGGCCGCCCTGGCGGGGGCCGTTCCTGCCGCTGCCGCGGCGCCGCCCGCCGCCTTGGGCCCTCCGCCTGGCGGGGTGCCTGCCTTGGCCGCGCCTGGCGCTCCTGCAGGCCCCCCGCTTCTGCCAGCTGCGGCGGGCGCCGCAGGCGTCGCCCTTGGGGCTGGCGTTGCCGCTGGTGGGGCTGTTGCCTCTGGTGTGGTCGCTGACTTTCGCGTGAAAGCCGCGAGCTAGGACGTGCAGGGCGACCGCTGGCGGGGTTTCCGCGAGGGCATCATGCTGCACACCTCGACGGCGTGGACCGCCTGGCCCGTGCGAGGCCCTCGGGCGGTGGCCTGGATCTACGCCCGCATCAAGTGCCGCGCCGCGTCTCCAGCAGCCTGGCGCACTAAGTGGATGACTGAGTGGAAGGTGTCGGAGGACGACCCGATCACCAGGGGGGAACTCTTGCTCTGTAGGATCTTGGAGCACGCGGCGTGCTACGACCAGGCGGGCGTCGGTGAGCTGGCGCACCAGGCGATGACGGCAAGGCGCCTCCAGCTCCTGCAGGAGAAGGTGGTCGAGACGGCCTTCAATCTGAAGGGCAGCGACAATAAGGACAAGGACAAGTCCCACGTGCTGGACGACAGCGCCGAGAACAACCTCTTCTTGGGTGCCCAGGAGAGCCGCGGGAACGCGCGCGCGTGCCCGCTGCTCAGCACGCGGATCGCGGACGAGTTGATGGCGGAGGCTGCGGTCGCCAAGGAGCACAGGAAGGCCCGCGAGGAGCGGGCGTTGCGCCTATAGCGATCGGCCACCCTCGCCTCAGCGGCGGCCCGCTCTTCCTTCAGCTGCACAGCTGCGCGATGTCGGCTGCCCCTGGCGAGCGGCAGCGCAGACTGTTCCCTTTTTCTCGGCTTGCTTTTGACGACAGGCGGGTTCCTTCGGTCTCGGCGGGGTCGACGGAGTTGTGATAATGGTCTTGCCTGCCGGGCCTGGGCGAACAAGGTGATCATGGTCTTACCTGGCGGGCCTGGGCCAACGAGTGCATTGACTTCCGCAATGAGATGAACGGCCGGGCCCGATCTGCTCGCGAGGTGGCGGCACCAGCTGACGCCCACTACCTACCTCAGAGGCTTGCTCTTGGTCGCATTGCAAATAATTCCAAGAACTTCGATTGGCCTGCCGACCTTCGCGTTGGCAACGTCACCTCGGATGCTGCCCTCGCAGAGCTGCTCCGCAATACACCTGGGCAGTGTGAAGACGATACCACAGTTCGACCTTGCGCCAAGGACCGCGGGCCCCGGCCTGCGCGCGCGCGATGCCGACGCCATTGGAATCCATGTCCAGCGAGGCCGCCTTCGACAGGCGGGGCTCATTGATGTCGGGAACGCTGGTCCCCGAGTCGACCGCCGTCGCTGGGCGCCGAGGGTCAGGCTTTGTCAATCAAGCTTTACTTTGACCCTCTTCTCTTGAGGTATCCCGACCGTTACGCCGACTTTGTTCGTCGTTTCGATGAGGCGGGCATGCTGTGGTTCCGCGTCCGTTGAGGATGGGGGCAGCCGATTGTCGGGGTGTTCTTCGTGGCCAAGAAGGACGGGGGCCTCAGGGTGGTGTTAGACACCAGCATTGTCAATGTGTCCTCCTCAGAACCAGCCAGCTCGAAGTTGCCGACGAGTTCTGCATGGTCCGGGGTGGAAATCGCTCTCGACGCCATATGGCGTCGGCAGATGTTCAGTGCGCGTTTCATGATGTTCAGTGGCAGATGTTCTGCGCCGCGACGCGGTTGCGCTCGACGTGGGTCTGGGCCCCGAGATTTTGGCGACGCCGGTCGGCAGCAAATGGGCGCCCCATTCTTGCCGGGATGCCCTGGTCAAAATCATCGCGAGGGACGTTGGCGCAGAGGCCGATCGCTTCGGGGGCCCGACGTCCTGGGCGGTGGCCGCCTACGTTGACAATATTTGCCTCATCGCTGGCTCGATGAAGCCCGCGAACTTGGAGCTGCATCGCATATCCCCAGCTGTCGCTTCGCACCGGTTGCCTGCGCGCGAGGTCCAGGAGGCCCGCCTTTCTATGATCTTCACGGGTCTTGAGTTCGATGGTGAAAAATCAAGCATGAGAGCTCCTTGTCATCGCATCGCGCGTCTCAGATTGGGCGTCCGCTCTGTGAGTCGCCGCGGTCAGATTCTCCCTCGTGCTATGTCCACGTTGATCGGCCATATGTTGTGCAGGCGCGATGCGCTGTCGATGCTCTCTGCCATGCCTGCTTTCGCGAGATCGCTTTCCGCTTAGCCCGTGGAGTTGTGGGGCGGGGTCTTCAGGGGGCCCCGCTGGGTTCAGTCGTCGTTGCCGCTGCGGGCCTCCTCGCGGCGCCTCCCGTGGGCCTCCGACGTCGCCGCCTCGGACTCATCGGTTCCCGGGATCGGGGCCTGCCGCCGCAAGCTGTCCGCGCACGCGGTCGCCGACATCGGGCGCCTTGCCGAGAATGCGAGGCATTCGTTGCATGATGCCATCCCTGCCGCCAGCGCGCGCTAGGAGGCGATCGTATCGGGCTTGGTGCGGGTCGTCTTGATAGCGAAGGGCGCCCTCTTGGGCCTGGGCGAGGACCTCTTGGGGATCGAAGGCCGGCGGGGGGTTCTCAGCGCCGACGGCGCCGCCGACTCCGAGAGCCCCCTGTCCGTCGCGCGCGACCTCTCCTCCTTCGCCGAGATTCACAAACAGTTGCTGGAGGGCCCCAAGTGGAAGGTCGCGCACTCGAGTTTAGTGTCCAAGACTGAGAATATCTCGGAGTCCGAGGTGGGCGCCCTGGAGTTCGCACTACGTCATCTTCTCCGCTCTGTGCCTCTTCTGGGTCACCCTCTGGTCTTGTTTGCCGACAATTTGGCTCTTCGCCCCCAGCGTGGGCAAAAGGCGCGGGGGGGCCTCGCGCGGCCTGTGACCAGGTTCCCGCCTTTGCAGTTGGCATCGGGCTGCCGCGCGAATGCGAGGCGGGCCCCGTCGGAGTTCAACCCATCCGACGCCCCGTCGCGAAGCGGCTTCTTCACGGGGCCCGAGTGGCAGAACGGTGGCTCGACCCTAGGCGGGGCGCCAGGTGGTCGCGCGTCGAGCGCGGCCCCAGCGCGCCATGACACTGGCGCGCCAGAGGCGGGCCCCCCAGACCTCCGCGTCGCAGCTGAGGGGCGGTTGCCTCGGTTATCGAGACGGCGGCGCTCACCGACGCGAACGCCATGCACTGCGCCGCCCGCGCGCAGCGCCTGGTGATCTGGTGCTTGCGGATGGGGCTACGCGGGTCTTCGGCCCAGGAGGTCGACGTTATCTTGACGGCCTTCCTGGCGCGCCTGGCCTTAGACGGCTTCGACGCGGGCGCGGGCCGCGCGACGCCGGCGGCGGCGCGCCATTTGCTGCCTGCGCTGGGTGCCACCCGCATTGCTCCACCGAGGGCCTGCAAGTCAACGGGCGGCTGGAAGAAGCTGACGCCGCCGTGCATGCGCCTTCCGATCCCTCGGCCTGCAGCGTTGGCGATCGTGGGCGTGCTGCTTGCGAGGCGCCAGATCCCGTTCGCGATTTTCGTGGTCTTGTCCTTCGCCGGCTACCTGCGGCCCTCGGAAGCCTTCCATCTGCGCGGGCGCTCGCTGGCGCCGCCCAACCCTTTGGCCGGCGAGAAGTACGCCGAGCGGGGTTTGGTGCTCAACCCTGGAGAGGAGGGCAGGCCTGGCAAGACGGGGATTACGGACGAGAGCGTCGCGCCGGTCCGGGCGGCTTGGTGGCCGCTGTGGGCGGCGCTGAAGGCGGCTCGCCCGGGCGCCTCGCCCCTGTGGCACTTCCAGGTGACAGAGGCGCGGGGCGCCTTCGACAGCGCCGCCGAGGCCCTCGCCACCCAGCCGTCGCTGCGCGCCCTCCGCCGCAGCGCGGCGAGCGACGACCTGCTCGGCGCGCGCAGGACCTTGGCAGAGGTCAAGGATCGTGGAAGGTGGATCACGGACTGCTCTCTCCGCAGATATGCCAAGCGGATCAGGCTGCAGCAGCAGATGAACATGCCGAGAAAAGCGGTGCTGTCTTTTGGACTTCGGGATGACCGTCACCTCGTGCTTCTCTTCGAGGCGGTCAGTCGCGACGGCGCGTTCTCCCTACAGGTCCCGCGGCATCCTCCCTCGACGTTGCGCGGGCGGGCGAGGCCCGCGTTGGCGGGCAGGTGGACCACTATCTGACGCGCCAAATGAACATTGCAATGGAGGCCGCCTCAGTCAGATCTCGCAGCGCGTGTTTTGGGGCTCGGGTGGTCTACTTGCCCTTACGCGCGCTAGCTTTCGCCGCCCTCCGCATCGACTCTTCGCGTCATATGGGGTTCGATTGGTCTCGACCCGCGATGCGCCAGAGGGTCTTGGGATGGCTTCGAGGTTGGGTTGTCTCTGGCGTCTGGGCCTCCCTGGCCTCGGGCCCTGGGGCCCCCTCCGCCCCCTCTCGGGTTCTCTCTGGCGCCTCGTCCTCCTTGATCCTCGAGGCCATCGCTTAAGGTCCCCTGTGTTTGCTGAAGCCTGTGCCGCGTCACCTATGCCATTTTTTTCGAGTACGCAAGTCTGCCATGTCCAGTGCTACTCAAGCGGCGGATTACAAGCTGGGCCAATATGGTAGTGTGCACCGTCAGCCTACGAAGATTTGGTCTTGGGCTGTCTCGCCTCCGCTGGACGTTCGACCCGCCTGCGCTGGCTCTCTCCGCCGGTGTCTGGGCCCTCGCCGATTTCACGCTTGTTTAACCTCCTTGGGCCCGCGGGGTGTGCCGTGGAAGTGTTCTTTTCATCGGTTCCCTCGGGATTTCGCCCGTTGGGGTTCCGACTGGATGGTCTCGGCGGCTGAAAATTCGAGGGGCGTTCGTGCCAGTCGCATTGCCTTGTGAACGCTAGCGTGCCGTAGTGTTTTCATCGGCCTGGCGGCCAGGGTCCATGCAATTATGCCTGGCACATGTAAGCTCGATTTAGTGTGGCCGCTGCTGGATGTCTCTCGCATGCCCGTCTGTCGTCGGGACCCGTGCCCGTGCCCCCTGGTGCACAGACAACCCCGGGCACACACAATGGAAGCTGATCGTACCATTGCATGCTGAGTTTTTCGTTTATGATCTTTTGGAATGTCGAGCTCCGCAATCACTGCGGCTCAGGTTTGCCGCCTCTCCCTCCCGCTCACGCCTTGTTCTACGTGTGAGCTCGATGTAGTCTGGCTGCTGCAGGGTGTCTCCCGCATGCCCGCCGGTGGTCGGGACCCTCACCCCTGCGCCCCGCAGCGAAGACAGCCCACACAGCGGGCGCTGATCATCACTATCATCGGTGCCGTCGTTGTCGTTAGAATCGTCATCACCGTCATCCGTATCGCCGTCACGGTCTCCACCATCATCAGCATTAACTTCGTGATCGTCATCAGCACCATCACCACCATCATCATCATCATACCGCGAATAAGCATCACCATCAACATCACCGTCACCATTATCATCATCGCCATCGCCACCATTGCTACTGTCGTCGTCGTCGTCATCATCGTCACCACCGCTAATTTCGTGATAGTCGTCGCTCGTCGCCTTCCGCCCCCACATGCCGAGAGGCCGCGGTCGGCATCTTGCGGCGTGAGCGGCCTTTGGCCCTGGTGCCCTTGCCCAGCGGAGGCCCGCCGCCCTGGGCTGCGCAGGCTGCGTCCCAGACCTGCCGCAGTCGGGGTGTGCCCTCGAGGTCTCTCAGAGGGGGAGGCCACTCAGATGCGAGGCGCCTTCCCCAGAGGGCGTGCAGGTGGGAGGTCATTCCGTGGCGAGGCAATTCAGGTGCAGGTCATTCCTCCATTCACGTTCTACGCCTCTCGCATGCCATGGTGTTCAACCACACGAGATGCCTAAGGCCACGGCCTCGCCCACCTGGTCTTGGCTAGGCTTGGACGGCGTCCGCAGCGGCGGCCGTATCGCATCCTGTTGTCAAAGAGGGATCGCCCGCTGGCGCGCGTGCCAGGATGCCCGACGCGGCGGCTCTGGCCAGGCTGCGCGGGGCCGGCAGGTGGGCGACCCCGCGGAGTTGGTCGCCGATTGCAGAGCTTCTCGGGCAGACAGCGGCGGACGACACCGAGTGGGCGATCCGACGTCAGAGCCATCTAGGTCTCCTAGATGGGGTCGGAGGATCGCGCCGCATCGCCGATGCATCGCCGATGCGATTCGATGTGGAGCCCGATTTGCTTCACGTCGACGACGCCGATGCATCGCCGACGTCGACGATGCGTCGCCGGTGCATCGCCGATGCATCGCCGATGCATCGTCCCCCGACCCCATGAACTCCGACACCATCTAGGAGGCCTCTCAGCCATGAGTGGGTGCCACGGAGCGGGATCGGAGGGCCCCACAAGGCGGAGGCCGTATGCACCCTCAGCGGTGTGGACCCGGGCACGCTCAGAGCCGCTCTGGCACCGCTATTTCGCTTGCGACGCCCACGCGGTGTCCGCCAGTGCTGCTGCGGAAAAGCTCTCCGCCGGAGGCCAAGCGCCCACCTCACAGCAATGTTTAATGGGGTCGGGTGTTCCAGAAACCTGCCACCTCGTGCGGCAGACGCGGCCAGAGGAGACTGGTTCTGCGGCGACGCATTTGTTTGTGGCAGAGCCTTCGACGTGGAGGATGACGCCTTCAGACGAGATGGTCCGTCGTGGCCCTCAACGACGATCGGGAGATCACAGGAGCTGTGTGCGACGCGGCACCGCTGGCGAAAGCGCTCCGCAGGGCTGTTCCATCAAAAGACCTTGGCACAGCTCGCGCAGTCCCCCCCCTGAGGTCGACTGCGGCTGCAAGGGAGCAGCGCGGGCCGCGCGAGACCGTGCCTTCGCCATGCGCGAGGCCAGTGCGCGGGCGGCAGATGAGGACAGCTCTGTGGGCCGACGTCGTGAAGGCCGCGGTGCGCCTCGCGGGGAATGCCACGACGAGCCACCGGGAGGGCTGGCGGCAGGCTCACGGCGCGGCGCAGCACGGGGCGAGCCGCCTGGCGCTGCGCGGGGCTCGGCTGTCGGGGGCTCCCGAGGAGGCGCGCCTCGTCGTCGCCGCGGCGTCCAGGCGCGGGCCGAGGCAGCCAGGCAGGCTCGTTGTGGGGCGGAGCTCCGTGCGCATCTGCGGGAGCCGGAGGGCGGTGGTTCCGTGGGCCTGATCGGGCGGGTGGGAATGGGGGGGCGACCTGAAGGGAGGGGGGAAGAACCAGGCCCTATAGAGGGGCCGTTTGCTGTTCGCCCCGTTTGAGGTCACCCCCCCGTTCGCCCACCCGCCCGACCTGAGCGCGAGGCGCAGGGGGACGACGAGGCCGCGCACGAGGGCGACCAGCGTGACGCTGGCGGCGGCAGTGCAACGCCGCAGGCGCCGGGCAACGCGGCAGGGGAGGCCGGGAGCACACGGCGGGGCGGCGGTGCAGGGGGCGCCGCCGTCTCCCAGGGCCTCATCGATCCTTGCTGCCCCCCGGCCAGATGTCCACCCTGGGCAGTTCTCTTGACGCACCTCCCCCTACCGCCTAGTCCCTCCCCTGCCTGGGCCTTGGAGGGGGGGGTACGCAGGGGTAAGAGCGTCCAAGATGGCCCAGGAGGGCTCCAAGAGGGCATCCGGGAGCCCACGATCGCTTCCAAGATGGTTCAGGATGGCCGACGATGGCTCAAAGGCAGGCTTTGGCACGCCCTATCCTGGGGCCCCCGCCCACGCCGCAGGCCGACAGCGGTGGTGAAATCTGGGGCTCGCGGGCTCGGTGCTCTTCTGGCCGTGATGGGGTGCTCCTGGATCCTGGGTGCTGGATTCTGGCGGTCTCCCGCAAGGTTCGGGGACGGAAAAGAGGGGGCTGATGACTAGGGGGGGAGGGATATCATGGCGGGGGCCATGATATTTCCCCAGGTTTCATGGTGCCTCTTCTTATTACATTACGTCCCTGGCCCCCCCGCTGGGCCGCGCACATGCCGCCGGTCATGATTTGCCCCCCCCCCCCCCCCCCCCTCTTGGACACCCCCCTCTTGGCCGCTCCCGAAAGGTTCAGGAGGGAAAGAACCACACAGACACAATCAATCGTCCCCTCCCAGGATAACATGGGAAACTATGCGAAGTGGGGGGAAGACAAAAACCGAGAAATATGTGATACTATGGGGAATCCCGTTATTTGTGTGTATTTGTTTGTGTGTCCCAGGGCCCCTTCCATTGTGGCGGTCTCCCGCAAGGTTTCCGGAGGCCTCCGCTGGCCCAGGTCGAGGGCCACGCACAATCACGAGCCTCGATGCTCCTCCTCTTGTTCCACCTCCACTTCCCCCTCGAACCTCGAGGAGCCTCCTCTTCCCTCCCTCCTGCTCCACCTCTTCCCTCCTCCTTCCCTCCTGAGGACCCTCCTGAGGACCCTCCTCTTCCCTCCTCTTGCTCCACCTCCTCTTCCACCTCCTCTTCCCCCTCGAACCTCGAGGAGCCCGAGGAGGAGGGCCTGGGGAGGTCATTCTCCTCCACGCATGCCGGGGGCGGAGGCAAGCGAGGAGCAGATGATGACGAGGTCCGTGAACATCAAGGGCAAGACTGCCGACGTCCTCCGCGTCACCGAGGACGGCCTACCCCCCGCGACTACCATCCCTCCACTTGCTTCCCTGTTCTCGTCTCCCCCTTCTTTGCGCGGGAGTGCCCGCGCTCGCGTAGGAGGAGAGCAGGAGCAGCAGCAGAAGGTATCAGGAGGACGAACGAGGACGGGGCGAGGGAGGCTGGGGCGCGGGAGTGAGGAGGGCACTCGCTCCTCCCCGTGCCTCCCTCCTCCTCGCCTCTGGCTCGTCCTTCTCGCGCTTTCCCTCCTCCTCCTCCTCCCCCTCCCGCGCCGAGGACGACGCGGCCTTCATCCTGGGCCGCGGCGGCAAGACGAAGCAGAAGATCGCGCGCGTGTCCCAGGCCACGCTCGAGCTGCACGAGAGGAGCCCGCGCGGGGCAGGGCGCGCGCGGGCGGAGGACGAGCGAGACGCGATGGGGGGCAGCCGGCGAGGAGCCGGGGAGGGGGCCGGGCAGGAGGGGGGCGGGAGCGGCAGCGGCAGGGGGGAGGGGCGAGGCGCGGGGCGGATGATGTGGATGCTTCGGGGATTGGGGCCGGATGGATATGTGGACGGGGGGGGGGGAGGGGCGGCAGTAAAGGAAGGAAGGAAGGACGGAGGAGCGATGGATATATAGAGAGAGAGGGAGAGAGAGAGAGAGAGACACAAAGAGCGAGAGAGAGAGAGAGAGAAGAGCAGATAGCGCCCCGGGAGGGGTCTAGTGGTTCGGTTTTTGGGTGGGAGGGGACAAGAGGGGGAGCGAGGAGGGAGGACGGAGGAGGTGAGGAATGAAGAGGAGGAAGATTGTCAGACTTCATCGGTGTTTCGTCTGGCTGCGTTCGAGTATGCAGTATCGCTCTGATTGTTCCCTCTCTGGCTCCATGTCTTTGTCGGCTCCCCGTTCCGTTTTACCACCCATCCCCCCAGTCTCTCATCGTCGTCAGTGGCATGGGACTGAATCGTACAACCCGCATTGCCCAAGGTTTGACATGGCATCCCCCATCCCTCTGCCCCTCATCCCACGTCTTCCCCCCACTCTGATCCTACATCTGCCTCCCCCCTTCTCCCCGTCCCTCCTAATCTCACATGGTCCCTAATACTTCGCTGAATCCCGCGTCATCCGGGTTTCGGCTCAATCCCAGGTTTGACCCAGGGTAGTCCGCCTCAGCGGCCCCGCAGTCGAGCTTTCATAGCCCCCGATCGTCCCTGCGAAGATTTCCAGGCGTTGGCTTCCCGATTCCTCCCTCCCCTCTCCTTCCCCCATGCCTCCCCCCGCTCGGGGCCATGCGGGTGCGCCTCCTCGCCTGCAGCGGGCGGCAGCTCGCGGCCCTGGACGCCGACCCCGCGTGGCGCCTGCGCGACGTGGCCTCGGCGGCGCGGGGCTGCGGCGCAGGCCGGGCCGCCTGCGCTTCCACTCGGTTCGCTTCGGTCCGCCGGCCGGGGCCGCGATACCGAGCCGACCGCACTCGGAGGCGGACAGGCCGCCCGCCCGAACACGTCGATGCAGGCGTTTTGGCCGTTGGCGGTCCGCGAGGGGGGCGTCCAAGGCCGCCATCTTTGGCGGGCCCGGGGCCGTCGGCTTTTCGGTCCCGGGCCGTGGTCACGAAGGGGAGGTTTTCTAACCCTGACCTTCCAGAGAGGTATTTTTTTGCGCTGGAGGCCTAAAAACCTAAAAACTGAGCGAAACAGCCTAAAACCAAGACGTAGAATAGCTTTGGGATAGGCTTTTAGGTCGGGAGCTATTTCTAAGCCCTCTTGGAAGGTCAGGGAAACGGGAGGTCTGTCCACCGCCGATCCACTTGGTTAGACTCGCCGGGACCGGCCGGGGCGAGCCGGCGCCAGGCGCCGCCGCCCGAGCCAGAGCTGATTCGGGGCGGTTCGCCAGCGATCCGATCCAGTGCCGACGCGGTTCGGTCCCGCGGTTCGAGCCAGCTCACACCCTGCGAAATGCTTAAGAAATCATGGGTTAAGAAATTCATAGTCTCTGAACTTGAATAAAAAACCCAACATGTCAATTAAAATCTTAAGATTTACATTGAAACGTTAAGCATAACCGAGACTCTGGCCGAAGACTTAAGTTTTCTGAAGTATCGCCTAAGGTGCAGGCCTGCCAGGGCGGGACGTCACGTGGCGAGTCCACCTCGGGGAGGCGGAGCTGTGCGGCGACAGGAGCGGGGAGGAGAAGGGGGCGGAGCCAGGGGAGGCACGGATACCGATGCTGCTGCTCGTCCTTCAGAGTTCTCGTCGACACTGCCGGATTCTCGTCGACATGCTGATGAGAACGCCCCCCAGGAGAGGCTTGGGGAGCAGCGGTATCTGTATCATTGGCCAAGCGCAGAGGAGGTACAAGGAGGGGGGACTGCTTCTTAGAAGGAGGTTGCTTCAAGACGCAGGTTTTGTCTGTAGATGTAGGGTAAGGCCGGCGCCTTCTAAGAAGCAGACCCCTTTAAGAAGCCTTCCTCCCTCCGCCTACAGCCTTGTCCGGAGCCTTCAGGGGCGGCCCTCATCGCCGCGGCCGGAATCGCCTCGAATTCGTGGGCGAGATGCGGTCAAGGTTAGGAAGGGGGGGAGACCTGAGAGTGGGAGGTGCGGCGTAAAAGGTGGATGGAGAGCGATATTCTTTTTCCCCACAATCCTGTGGTATTGGGTCCTCGTTTTGAAGAGACGGTCCCCGCGTTCATCTCCTCTCCTCTCCTCATCGTCCTCCTTCCCTCCTCCTCCTCCTCCTCCTCCTCCTCCTCCTCCTCCTCCTCCCCCTCCTCCTTCTCTTCCTCCTCCTTCTCCTGAGAAATGAAAGCAGCAGGGTGCCTTTTCCCTAGCTGCTGTTTAGAATAGCGCGCAACGCTGTTCAAACCTTTGGAAGCCCCCCGGGCCGCAGGAGGCCCCGGCGCGCAGCGGGAAGAGGGCCGGTGGACCACAGGACTGGACTGGAGCTAGTTAGATCGGCTGTCAGCACCCAGGGGGCCATCACCATCACCAGGAGGGGGAGGGAGGTCGTCGGCGTCGTCGAAGTCCGTCCCGCCGCCCGCCAGGCCGCCCGCCCGCCGGAGGGAAATGGGAGGGAAGGGGGGAGGGCCAGGTGACCCCAAGGGCGGAGAGAGGGCGTCCCCGAGAGCCCACCCGCCGAGGCCAGCGATCGCCTGCACGATGGCGATGCCGAGGCGGCACGCCATCACCTGCAGCTCAGCCTTAGTGATCCACCGCATTTTCGCCGTGACGCGGGGCTGGGCCCCCCACCAGGCTGGCACGACCCGCGGATTCTCCCCGAGGTCGAGCTGACGTCCGGCAAAACGCGGGCACTCGGCCCAAAAGTGCCGAGCCGACGCCTGGGGGTGCCCGCAAGCGAACGGGCAAACGCACGCGCCGCCGTGCTTGCGGGTCGGAGTGCGCACGGCCCCGCCCCTCCAGACGGCGAGGAGGTTCGTCTCGTATCGGCCCAGCGATCGCCGGAACTGGGCCTAAGGCGGCGCGCTTTGGGCAGCCAGACCGATCTCCCCGATCCCCTTTTCGTCGTGCCGCGGCGGGGGCCCAGGCGCCACCCGGGGGCGAAGGAACGCCGCCCGGGCGCACTCCCGAAGAACGTGCTGGCCGCGATCGGACGAGGCGTCGAGAGCCCTCCAGGGGGTGCGAGGGGAGGTCCCAGTCCCAGGGTAACGGCTTCTCGATTCGCTGCTGTCTTCGGCGGCAGCAGCGGCGACCGCCGACGCGGCCCGGGGGGTCGAGCCCCGGGGCCGGAAGCAGCCTGACGCGGGGAGCGACCTGGTCGCAACCGGGAGTAGCCAGAACGCGCCGGAATGCTCCGACAGCGCCACCGACAACAACCGCGACGCGGGAATCCCCCGAACCGCCTTCAGCATAGCGCCTTCCTCATTCTCCTCCTCCTCCTCCTCCTCCTGCACATCCCTCACGCGCTTCGTGGCCCCAAAGGGAGCTCCATCGAAGGTCCTCGTGGGGATGCCCGCATGCGGTCCCCCCACCCAGTGCACCGCTTCGTGGCCCCATAGGGAGCTCGACCGAAGGCCCCAGGGGAGGGTGCTCGCATGCGGTCCCCCTACCCCAGTGCAGCGATTCGTTGCTCCACGAGCTCCACCGAAGGCCCGAGTGGGCGTGCCCGCGTGCGGTCCCCCCACCCAGTGCAGCGCTTCGTGGCCCCATAGGGAAGGCCCGATGGGGGGGGGGCCGCACGCGGTCCCCCCACCCAGTGCAGCGCTTCGTGGCTGGGAGCTCCACCGACGGCCCCTTTACTACCGCCCGCAAGCGCCCCCCCCATCCAGTACAGCGCTTCGTGGCCACGGCCGCAGTGCTACCGCCCGCATGCGCCCCCGCCACTCAGTACAACGCTTTGTGGCCCCGTACTGAACTCCACCGACGGCCCCAGTGTTACCGCCCGCATACGTTCCCCCCCACCCGGTGCAGCGCGTCGTGGCCCCATAGGGAGCGCCATGGAAGAAGATATTCACCACCGCGGCAATCACAACTGCAAATGGCCGGTTTTTTCGCCAGGATAATGTCGTTAGCCTTCGGGGGGCCCCCTCGTCGCCAACGCTTGGCGCAGGAAGGAGGCTTGCCAGAAAGGTGCGATGAGTTGTGTGGCGACAAGAAAGAGGCTCGTCAGCGGTGTTCGGCGGTTTTCGGGAGGTGCTACATTGTTTTCGGATTTTCTCTGATATGTCTGCAGGTTCCCGTATGAATTCAAAGTTTTCGGAGGGTTCCAGAGGGCGGGGGAGGGACGAGGGAGGAGGATGAGGCAAAGGAGGGGGAGTACATGGAGAAGGGGAGGAGGCGGGTGAGGATGAAGATTAAGAAGGGGAGGGAGGATGGAGAAAGGGGGCGGAGGGAGGGTGGGGGGGATATGGGGGGAGGGGGAGGGGGCAAGTTAGGTGCGCTCGCGTCAACATCTGGCATCCTACCCCTCCCTCCCATCCCTTACCATGGCGCTGATTGTCTCTATCCGCGGACGCGTGTCGTAGCGGACCTGGGGTTCCGCGCGCGTGTGCGTAGTGGGTGGTGGTGCGCGTGCGTGCGTGCGTGTGTGCGTGGCTGTGGTTGTTGTTGTGGTGGTGGTGGTGGTGTGTATGTGTGTGTGTGCGTGTGTGCGCGTGTGCTGTGGTGTGACGTGGTGTGGCGTCTTGGTGGTTTGGTGGTGGGCCAGGTGCGTACGTGCGTGATGGCGGTGGTGGTGGTGGCGGTGGTGGTGTGTGTGTGTGTGTGTGTGTCTGTGTGTGTGTGTGCGTGTGTGTGTGTGTGTGTGTGTGTGTGTGTGTGTGTGTGTGTGTGTGTGTGTGTGCGTGTCTGTGTCTGTGTCTGTGTCTGTGTGTGTGTGTGTGTGTGTGTGTGTGTGCGGCGTGCGTGCGTGCGTGCGTGTGTGCGTGCGTGCGTGCGTGCGTGCGTGCGTGCGTGCGTGCGTCGTGCGTGCGTGCGTGCGTGCGTGCGTGCGTGCGTGCGTGCGTGCGTGCGTGCGTGCGTGCGTGCGTGCGTGCGTGCGTGCGTGTGCGTGTCTGTCGGCTGTCTGTCTGTCTGTCTGTCTGTCTGTCTGTCTGTCTGTCTGTCTGTCTGTCTGTCTGTCTGTCTGTCTGTCTGTCTGTCTGTCTGTCTGTCTGTCTGTCTGTCTGTCTGTCTGTCTGTCTGTCTGTCTGTCTGTCTGTCTGTCTGTCTGTCTGTCTGTCTGTGTGTCTGTGTGTGTGCGCGCGTGTGATGTGGCGTGACGCGGTGTAGCGTGGTGGTGGTGGGTGGGGTAGTGCGGTGGTGGTGGCGGTGCGCGGTGGTGGTGCGCGTGCGTGCGTGCGTGCGTTGGTGGGTGGAAGTGGCGGTGGGTGTGCGCGCGGCGGGGCGGGGCGTGGTGCGGCGCGGTGGTGGCGGGCGGATGGGCGCGCGAGAAAGAGGCCCGCGTTGGGGCGAAAACGCCATCCTGAACGACGGAGGCAAAACACCGATCCGAAAAGGAGGCCCACGCTGCAGCGGGAGCACGATTCGGAACGAATTCGGGGGCAAAGATGAGGCCAGCGCTGCAGCGATAGCAGCATTTTGAAAAACAGCGAAGGCGAAAACCCAACTCCCGGGAATCCTGCGTGTAAAAAACAGTACGCGGGGGGGGTCGAATATTCCCAGCACGCCATCAGGGGAAGAGGGAGAGTAGTGTTCATATTGAGTAATTGTAGAGGGGGGGGGGGCGGAGTTGGTCATCGACAGGACTCTGGAGAACATCGGGGCCGCAGACGGTAGCGAGTTGACCGTGGTTGTAGTCCAGACTCCACGCGTTGTGTCTGCACGGGCAGACGGCGTCGCGAAGGTGTGGTCAATTGCCTCGGGGGAGGTCCTGTGCACGCTGACGGGCCACCGACAGGCAGCAACTTCGGCCACGTTCTCTCCAGGAGGGCCAGGAGGGCGCGCGGACAGGACAATCCCAGCCGTTCGTCGGCTGGCTTCTCTGCCCGGTGCCGGCCCCCCTCCCCGCACCCGCGGGTGGGGGCTGCGCTTCCGGCGCCCGCGGAGAAGCCGTCCGCGGACGTCCGAAGTTCATGCGTACGGCCAGTGTTTGTCCTGCCGACTCGGCAGCGACCCCGCCGCGGGCGTTCAAGGTTGAAAGCCGCCAGCGGCCCAGGACCAGCCAGTGTGGAAAACGATCCGGGATCGAAAAGCCACCGATAGTGCAGGGCCGAACGCTTCTCGCGGCTTCAGGAACCGACGCAGCCGTCGTCGGGACTCGAGCACGCCGCACGCGCCTTCCAGCCCTCCCCCTCTCCCGACGGGCAGCATGTGCTGACGAGCTCGTGGGACGGCACCGCGAGGATCTGGTGCGCCGCCTCGGGGGAGTGCGCGCGCACGCTGGAGGGCCACGAGGACGGCATGCTCTCCGCCGAGTTTTCGCCCGACGGGCGGCAGGTGTTGACCGTGGACGGCGCCGGGAAGATCTGGGACGCCGCCTCGGGCGCGTGCCTGCGCACGCTGGATGCCGACAGGCAAGCTGGACTCCCTCCTCCACGTCCTCCACAGTTTGCTCAACATGAACACTACTCTCCTCTTCTCTCCCCTGAGTCTGCGGCGGAATCTGTCTCGGAGTATTCGGCCCCCCCCCGCGTACTGTTGTTTTATGTCCACAGGATGTCGGCGATGGGTTTTCGCTGGTGTTTTTTCCCCACATCCTGAGTGGGGTTCTTGTTTTCCCAGAACACCCTCTCCTTCCCACCCACCTCCCGCTCCATCACATACCATACCATACCATACCATACCATACCATACCATACCACACCATACGTACCATACCGTACCATACCATACCACACCATACGTACCATACCGTACCATACCATACCATGGCGGTAGGGAGGCCCCGCCTGAGCGAGGAGGGTATCGGAATACCATACTATTTACATGGTTTCGTGCCCCTCCCACCCCTCCAGGGAGGCCCCGCCTGAGCGAGGAGGGTATCCGAAAACCATACTATTTACATTGGTTCGTGCCCCTCCCACCCCTGCAGGGAGGCCCCGCCTGAGCGAGGAGGGTATCGGACAACCATACTATTTACATGGTTTCGTGCCCCTCCCACCCCTCCAGGGAGGCCCCGCCTGAGCGAGGAGGGTATCGGAATACCATACTATTTACATTGTTTCGTGCCCCTCCCACCCCTCCAGGGAGGCCCCGCCTGAGCGAGGAGGGTATCGGAATACCATACTATTTACATGGTTTCGTGCCCCTCCCACCCCTCCAGGGAGGCCCGCCTGAGCGAGGAGGGTATCGAAATACCATACTATTTACATGGTTTCGTGCCCCTCCCACCCCTCCAGGGAGGCCCCGCCTGAGCGAGGAGGGTAACGGCATACCATACTATTTACATGGTTTCGTGCCCCTCCCACCCCTCCAGGGAGGCCCCGCCTGAGCGAGGAGGGTATTCGCATCACCTGTTATTTATCAGGTTTCGTGCCCCTCCACCCCTCCAGGGAGGCCCCGCCTGAGCGAGGAGGGTATTCGCATCACCTGTTATTTATCAGGTTTCGTGCCCCTCCCACCCCTCCAGGGAGGCCCCGCCTGAGCGAGGAGGGTATCGAAATACCATACTATTTACATGGTTTCGTGCCCCTCCCACCCCTCCAGGGAGGCCCCGCCTGAGCGAGGAGGGTATCGGAATACCATACTATTTGCATGGTTTCGTGCCCCTCCCACCCCTCCAAGGAGGCCCCGCCTGAGCGAGGAGGGTATCGGAATACCATACTATTTACATGGTTTCGTGCCCCTCCCACACCTCCAGGGAGGACCCGCCTGAGCGAGGAGGGTATCGGAATATCATACTATTTACATGGTTTCGTGCCCCTCCCACACCTCCAGGGAAGCCCCGCCTGAGCGAGGAGGGTATCGGAATACCATACTATTTACATGGTTTCGTGCCCCTCCCAAGCGGGGCCCCGCCAAAGCGAGGAGGGCATCAAGAAAATGGGTCCCACGAAACCGTTAATCTCTTTATGTGGGGAACTCCGTTAGCATAATTTTTTTACACACAGGATGCCCAGGAAATCCCGGGAAACGACTCTCGCTGAGGCGCCGGCGTCATTTTTTCCCAAAATGCTGCTCTCGTTGAGGCGCCGGCCTCGTTTCTGCTCCCGAATCGTTCCGAATCGTGCTTCCGCTGCAGCGTGGGCCTCATTT